AAAGAAAACAATGAAGAGGCTTGTTTAATATTTAGCATTTTATTACAATTTTTACTATTTTCAGGTGAMGTTTTGCTACTTTTTCTTTTGTTGTTAGCATTTTACTACTGTTAGCTAGCATTCTGTTACATTTAGCTTTCAGCTCATTTTAAACATCTCCAACAAATTTTAGCAACGTCATTGAAACCTGAGTTTAAACAGAAAAGTTTGATTCTGAACATAATGTTTGTTATTTAGCTGAGCTAACAGCTGCAGCCAGTTTATAACTTTATTAAAGCTCGTTTTTCAGGAGCCGTGGCTTCTTTTTTTGTTTCAAACATTAACAACAGATTATGAGGCTGTCTTTGTTTTTCTAACAWGTTGTTCTTGCTGTTTTTCAGAAGTGCCTCTTTTGATGTGGAACCGGTCTACACTTTCAGAGGTCACGTGTACGTATCTGAACTTTACAGGAAGTGGTGATGAAAGTGAACTTTACAGGAAGTGGTGATGAAAGTGAACTTTACAGGAAGTGGTGATGAAAGTTTAAATCAACTTATTTTTATGAATGAAGAGCAGCTTTGAACCTTTTAATGTGAGTTTGGTTTTAGTAAAACAGTTTGTGTTGTTGTTCTGCAGCGGTCCTGTCCTGTCGCTGGCCATGACCTCCAGTGGTGAGCAGTGTTTCAGCGGCGGCCTCGACTCCAGCATCCAGTGGTGGAACATACCCAGCTCCAACGTCGACCCCTACGACACTTATGGTGTGTGTTTGTTTGTTGGTTTGTTGACTTATTTATTCATCCATCCAACCATCATCCATGCATCCATCCATTCATTCATCCATCCATCCATTCATCCATCCATCCATTTATTCATTCATCCATCCATTTATTCATTCATCCATCCAACCATCATCCATCCAACCAACCATCATCCATCCATCCAACCATCATCCATCCATCCATTCATTCATCCATTCATCCATCCATTCATTCATCCATCCATTCATTCATCCATCCAACCATCCATCCATCATCCATTCATCCATCCATTTATTCATTCATCCATCCATCCAAACGTCATCCATGCATCCATTCATTCATCCATCCATCCAACCATCATCCATCTATTCATCCATTCATCCATCCATTCATCCATCCATTCATTCATTCATCCATCCATCCAACCATCCATCATCCATTCATCCATCCATCCATCCAACCATCATCCATCCATCCA